CTCTGAGGCTTTTGTGCAGTTCTTTGTGGAGATCGTTGGACACTATTCCCTGCACATGAACGTCACAGAGAGAGGGGAGCGCGTGTTCCAGCGGGAGCTGTTCCGCAAGTCTCACGTCTCGCGCAACGTGCGGCACTTCCTGCACTTCTTCATGGAAACACAGATGTTTGCAGGCTTCATCCAGGACCGAGAGCTGAGAAAGAACCCAGTCAAAGGTGAGGCTGGATCTTGCTTTCTGGTTTTGATTCACTTTCAGAGTATCATGTCAGGTGACTTTAACTCTTAGGACACCTTTTGTCCTGGCGAGTTATTCCGTTGGCATTTTGGTGCCAGTGGTAGCCCTGGCCCTTCTAATCAAGGGCTGAAGCAAAGGATTTTTACATCTCTCCTCTCTCATCCTGTAGCCTACATCATACCCATGATTTCCTTTTTGTAACCTCGTTGATGAGACAAGCTGTCACATGCTAAAAGATGGAATAGCTCTGTTTTTATTGTTTCTTTTTTTTTTCTCTTTTAGGCCTGTTTGAGGTCCGTGCTTTGGAGTATTTGGAGAGTATTCCAGGGACTGAACCGACTGGAATGAACAAAATCCTTCGCAGTCTCGGTAAAGGGACACCCTTGCTTTTTGTTCATTTGTATTTGTTTAAATGAACCATAGAATCCCAGACTGGTTTGGGTTGGAAAGGACCTTAAGATCATCCACTTCCAACCCCCCTGCCAGGGGCAGGGATGCCTCACCCTAGGCCATGTTGATCAAGGCTCTGTTTACCAATTCTTTGGGTAACCTGTGCCAGCGTCTCACCATCCTCATACCCAAGACTTTTGCTATTGACCAAATAACTGCATGGGAAAGAGAGCAGAGGCTCTTTGTTGCTGTGTGCGCCCCTGTGTTGTTTTCTGTTGCCCCTTCAGCGGTGCTGAGGCCTTTGTGTCTCTTTCTTCTCCACAGGCACTAAAATGAAGTTTCTCCAGAAGAGATGAGTGGGCGCTGCTGCTGCTGCGGGCCAGCGGCGGGCCGCGGGTGCCGCCTGCCCTGCGGCCGGAGCCGGCCTCCTCTGTGGCTGCAGGCGGGCTGGGGCCGGGTGCGGCTCCTGATTTATTAAACCGTCAATTCAGCGTTATCGACCCAGCCCGAGCCTCAACCTGCTCCTGCCGCGCTGCGATGGGGCGGGACTAGGACCGGGAGGGGCGGGGTCTCGGGGCGGAGGGCGGGGCTGGGCAGCGAGGGGCGGGGAGGGGCCGCGAGGGGCGGGGCGGGTTCGCTGCGCGGTGCCGTAGCTGAGGTGCGACGCGCAGGCGCAGTGCTGGCCCGGGCGCATTATGGCGGGCCCAGGGCTAGTGGCCGGGGACGTTGTGGTGGACGCGCTGCCCTACTTCGACCAGGGCTATGAGGCGCCGGGCGTCCGGGAGGCGGTAAGTGTGGGCCGGGCCGGGCCGGGCCGGGGAGGCGGGAGCGATCTGGGCCAGGAGCCGAGGTGCCTGACGCCCTGTGTGCGCTAGGCCGCGGCGCTAGTGGAGGAGGAGACGCGGCGGTACCGGCCCACCAAGAACTACCTCAGCTACCTGCCGGCGCACGACTTCAGCGCCTTCGAGGTGAGGTGGACCGAGCTCCCCCCTTTCCTGCCCCTTCCCCGGGCTGGGCTCCCCCCGCCGCCTCACCCGCGCCTTCCCGCAGACCGAGATCATGCGGAACGAGTTCGAGCGCCTGGCGGCCCGGCAGCCCCTGGAGCTGCTCAGCATGAAGAGGTAAACGGGGCGGCCCCAGGGCCAGGGGCACCGGCCCGAGAGCGGAGTCTCCCGCGCCCCGTCCTGAGGCGGGCGGGCGTTCTGATGCAGGTACGAGCTGCCGGCGCCGTCCTCCGGACAGAAGAACGACATCACGGCGTGGCAGGAGTGCGTGAACAACTCCATGGCGCAGCTGGAGCACCAGGCCGTGCGCATCGAGAACCTGGAGCTCATGTCGCAGCACGGCTGTAATGCTTGGAAAGTGTACAACGAGTAAGGCTTTGCGGGACCTCGCTGAAGTTCTGACTTCAGCTTCTCTGTGGTTGAGGTGTTTCCCTGTGTACATCAGTGGGGATCTTCAGAACGTATCATAAAATCCCAGACATGTTTAGGTTGGTTGGGACCTTAAAGCTCATCCAGTTCCAGCCCCCTGCCATAGGGGGCAGGGTGCTCCAAGCCCCGTCCAACCTGGCCTTGAACATTGCCAGGGATGGGGTAGCCACAATCGCAGGTTCTGGACTCACTCCTGCAGGACCTTTTTGTGGCTTTTTGTATCTTAAATGGGTCAGAGCCAGCAATTGTATGTGTTCCTAACACTTTGCTTCCATTGCGCTCTTAGACATCTGGTTCATATGATAGAACAAGCCCAGAAAGAGCTTCAGAAGTTGAGGTGAGTGATTTTTTTCTACATTTTTCAGAATGAAGTTGGAAGGAAAGTGAGCCTCTTCCCCCAGGCTGTGCAAGGCTTGTGTGTGTGCTGCTGCCACAGTCACAGGAAAAAAGACCCAGTAACAACAGTAATTAACAGATCTGACCCTGCCATCCTCAAGCAGTGGGTTTGAATGTTGGAAGTTTTGCTTGTAGTACAGCGGAGGTTTTGTGTTTGTGCTTTTATTGTTTCTGTCTATCTGTCTGTCTGTCTTAGGGTTCTGTACTGGGATTTGTCCATCTATCTGTTGCAGTTACAGCCCTGGCTACACAAATGTTTTATGAAATTAGAAATTACAGCTTGTAAAGAAAGGAGATAAAAAGAAATCCATCTTTTTTTCTCCCCAGGAAAAACATTCAGGATCTGAACTGGCAACGAAAGAACATGCAACTCACAGCTGGGGCCAAGCTCCGAGAAATGGAATCCACGTGAGTATCTCAAGTTCTCTGCTAAACCTTCCACAAGTAAAGCTTCTGCCTGGAATTCTTCCGTGCAGAGCGTCTGTGATCTTTCCATACTGTTGTGGGATGTTACCGTGGGAAAACTGCTTGTTGCTTTGCACAGAGGGTTTGTAATTCAGGTCTATGTGAGAGTTGCTACAGTTAAGTGAATCAGTGAGCAACAGATGTGGAAGGAGGACACATCAGCTCCTTCAGAGTGCCTAAACTGTTTTTTAAACTCTTTAAATACTGGCAGTCAGTGGGGTTGATTCTAGTAAATCTCTGCATACAAAATCTTGACAGGGTTAAAACCTACGTTTTTTAACTTTCGTTGTTCAAACCACCATTGCTACTGACAGATGTTTATCATGTGTTGAGAAAAACACTGCATTATTCCATGCCTTTGTGCTTTTTGGAGCAATAATTGTCTCTTTATTTTAAAGCAGAGGATGGTTACATAAAACTTAAAGGCTTTTCAATTTTTTTCTCCCTTCCAGATGGGTGTCTCTTGTCAGTAAAAACTATGAGATTGAACGAACCATTGTGCAGCTGGAAAATGAAATCTCACAAATCAAACAGCAGCATGGTGAGGCGAACAAGGAGAACATCCAGCAAGACTTCCAGTGACTTCACCCTTGGTGTCTCACTGCAGCATGTGTTAACGCAAAAACCTTTGGAGATGCTGTGTCTTTGTAGACATCTCAAGTTGCAATTGTGTGATGTTACTTTCATTGTTTCTTTTCTTTGTTTTCATTTCTAGGACTCAAAATGCTCTGTTCACATGTGTTATGTGCATAGTTAAATGTATTTTAATTGGTTTGTGAATTGTTTTGTTTTTAAATACCAAATGTAGGAGCTCTTAAAGAAAAATCTATTCATGATTTTACATTTTCCCCTATGCCTTTAATAAACACAGTTTTGCTATCTTTATGGCTTTTGCTTCGTGTTCAAAAGCCAGCCTGCAAGCAGTCCACTGAACCCAGTGACTGGCACTGCATGGCTGATGTGTGTGAACTTGAACCCACTGTGGGAGACTGAGCCTGGGTGGAGGCTGCTGCTGTTAGAGTATTTGTAACTGGCCCATGCCAGCCTGGGAGAAAGGCTAGGATAGGGTGTACAGCATTGCACAGGTACTTGTTTGTGCATGTGAGGGGTCCCAGTTGGACTGTGCCATGCCTAAGGGATTTTCATGGAATCACAGCCTGGTTTGGGTTCAAGGGACCTTAAAGCTCACAGGTCCAACCCCTGCCACGGGCAGGGTCACCTTCCACTAGAGCAGCTTGCTCCAAGCCCCTGTGTCCAACCTGGCCTTGAGCACTGCCAGGGATGGGGCAGCCTCAGCTTCTCTGGGCACCCTGTGCCAGCGCCTCAGCACCCTCACAGGGAAGAGCTTCTGCCTAAGAGTTCATCTCAGTCTCTCCTCTGGCAGGTTCAAGCCATTTCCCTTGTCCTACTTTGCTGTCGCTTCACACCCCTTTTCCCACGGGGTTTTGTGCCCCGTGCTACACGGCTGTCACGGGAACGCTCATTACCTTCTTCCGTGTACTTCTCACCTTCCACCGCAGCCCGGCACGGCGCACTGCCTGCAGGTCTTAGCATCGTAACACACCCGCGTTCTCCGGTGCTCCACCGCCGTCAGCTGCAGGGCCCCAACTCCCGTCTCTGGGATGCTCACTGCGTTCAGAGGGCTCCCCACAGCGCTCTGCTGCTTGTTCCTCGGTGGGAGCGGGTGGTGATGGGGACACAGCCCCTTCCGCCCGCCGGGTCCCCACCGTTCCCTCCGGGCGGGAGCTGCGGGTCGCAGCCAGCCCCGGCTCCCCCCGGCCCCCGCAGCCGCCTAAGGAGCACCCCGGTGGGGGGGGCCAGCTCCCCGCTGCACGCTCCGCCCCTAGCTCTGAAGCCTCCTCTTTCGATTGGCTGGAAAGCGTCTGACACGGACCAATGGGAGATGAACGCTGAGGCGCGGCGGCGGGCCGCCTCACGTCACGACTCGTTCTTTCCGGACGCTTCCCGCCCCACCCTCGCTCGCTGGCGGAGCACGCGCCGCTGCGCGCGGCCTCCCGGGCCCCGCCTCCATTGCGTGAGGCGCGCGGTGACGCCGTACGTGAGCGGAGCGGGGAGCTGGGTTCAAAGGAGGAAACATGGCGGAAAACAAAGGAGGCGGCGGCGGCGGGGAGGGGGCTGCCGAGGCCGGGCCGGGCGGAGGCGGCGGCGCGGAGCCCGCGGCCGCCTCCCCCTCGGCCGCCGTGCCGCCTGAGGAGCGGGAGAGTCCCGGCGCGGCGGCGGCGGAGCGCGGTCTCGCGGAGGCCGAGGCCGAGGCAGCGGCGTCGGGGCCCGGTGCCGTTCCAGGGCCTGGCCCCAGCCCGGTGCCTCCGCTGACACCGGCGGCGCCGGGGCCGTTTTCGCTGTTGGACACATGCGCCGTCTGCGCGCAGAGCCTGCAGAGCCGGCGGGAGGCCGAGCCGAAGCTGCTGCCCTGCCTGCACTCCTTCTGCCGGCGCTGCCTGCCCGAGCCCGAACGGCAGCTCAGCGTGCCTGTGCCCGGCGGGGCGAACGGCGACATCCAGCAAGGTGAGTGCGGGGGAAGCCGGCAGCGCTGGCGGCTTCTTCGGGAGGTTCCTCTGCGTTGCTTGCAGGTTCTTGTCTCTGGCATCGAGCGAGCTTCAGCTTTTCCGGGCTTGAGCCCGCAGTTTGTCTCGGCCTCGTTTGACAGCTCTACCGATAGAGCTTGCGTCCGTGCCCGCCGTTGCTGCTGCTGCTCTGATCCTCCGGGATCTCTCTTACCACGCCCATCAGCAGTTTGCGCCGTGTTTGTAAGCCAGGGCTGAAACTTGTGAGGTCTTGGAATTGCAGCGTGAATTGCCTTGTACGTTGTGTTCTGGCTTTCAGGGGTGCTCCAGCAGAGGCGTGTCTGTGAGGGAGTGTTCGGCTGGTCAGTACTCGAGGAAAAATACTGTCGAGTGAGGTGTAGCTCACTGTTGTTACAGTATGACATGGCTTGCTTGGCAGTGGTGTGTGGAGTACACCTGCTTTCAGTTTCGTGTGTCCTGTGGTCCGAGTTAAACCACTGCAGTGCTGTTTGTCGCTTGACTTGCTGTGCCTGTGTACTCTACGCATGTATAATTCCTGTGCCGTCGAACGAGTGTAAACTGCTCCTTCCAAGTGTGTGTATTGAAATCACAGCTTGATTTTTCTTTTAAAGCATTCAGAGATAGAATTGAAAAGCTTCTGAAGCTCTTCATAGAGCGACTCCCATGCTGTGGTCTGCAGACCAAATGAGGGCCTTGGGAAGTGGTTTTGCAGCTCTTAATTGGGCCTTGTGGTCACTGAGACCTTGTTTGGTGGCATCTTTCTGGATTTAGCAAGGACTTGAGCCTTTCCTGTGTTGCATAGTGAGGTAATTAACCTGACTTGGTAGTGCTGCCTTCATCCAGACTGTCCAGAAGCAGTTCATCTAGGATGTGGTCTTTGAAAGTCCATTGCTTTTAAAAAGCTGATTAATTCAATGTAGCTGATAAATGCAGTAACTAAAGCACTTGGGCTTGTGAACCCTCTTGTTAAATTCCAGATTTTATATTTTGCATTATAGATGCAAATGAAAGATACAGAACTTGAAGCTAAGTTGATTTTATGGCCATCAGCAGGATTATCTGCATCTTGCTGTTTCTGTCAAGATACGAGTGTAGGAACACCGCAAAGCCTTAGGTTCTGAAGTATGTGTAAACTGGAGTTTCACTTCTCGCTACATGTATCTTAAGAATGCTTTAATCTGTTCTTTGAAGTAAGAATTCCCCTTTGGGTTGCTGCATCAAAAACTTTTGGGTGATGTGAGCATCATGGGTGTCTTTGCTCCAGGAAACTACACTGGTAGAGACATGTGTGATCTGTCGTGGTGGTACAAATGCACGTTATGCACAAAATGCATGCATGTTTGCATGCACAAATGCATTAGCCCAGCAGGTCACTTAAGAACAAGGCGTTGACCAGACAGAAGATGCAGGTTTGTGGACAGTGCTTGCCACTTGTAAATGGAATCAGTTAAATGGCACTTGAAGTGCTTACCAGTCAGTCAGGTCCAATATGAGCATTCTCAGCATCCAGAGAAGTACTACATTGCTTAATCATACAGGTTCCTTCCCTGCTGTCATGAGTTTTGATGGTCATGATGTGTTACTTCCCATTCTACTGCTTCTCTAGTCTCCTTAAACACGAGCAGGTATTTTTTCATGAAGGAAGAATTTATGAAAAGTGGTACCTATAGCTATACCTGAAACAGGTTACACTTAACTGCAGGCTCTCAGTTCTTGTTTATTTGCTGTACTATTCTATATGCATTTAAATTTGTCTGCTGCCATTTTTACTGTCTCTACACCTAGATAACGTGATTAGAAGTGTTATGGAAAAGAACAGGGGTTTCTTTTGTCATTTTCCTGGTTTCTTTGTTAATTAGCTTTAGATTTTGCTCTGTAAGAGTTGTCAGTATTAACAGTAATAAATACCTGTATTGATTGGGTAATAACTGTGGAAGGCACTTACCAGGAGTTGAGTGCAACCTCAGTACCTACAGAACAGTTCTGTGTCCTCTCCTGGTGAAAACATGCTGTTGCTCTTGGGGAAAACAGAAGGATGCTTGAAGGCAGGAGTTTGTGATCTATATCAGCATCTCTTCTCCTACCCTGTTGCCACTCCCTTGAGAGACACTGCTAGTGAAGACAGAAGAATGGTCTCAATTCCCACAAGTTTAAGAAACTGACTTAAATTTAAAACCACAATCTGAAGTTGTGGCTGGCTCTGTTATAGAGAAGTCACTGGTGGGATCATACCTATTGTGGTAGTGACAGATTGTTTTGGCTGTTGTTTATGTTGGGGGAAAAAGTATTTTGTTTTGTGTATTTAAAGCATACTTTTATGCCACTTGTTAAACATAAAAAGTAACATATGCAGCTTAATGACTTTCTAGGTCATTGGAATGTGTGTTTATTTGGTGGATAGCTGATTGCTTAATGCCCAGTGTTTCAGCTGTTCAGCTGCGCTCTTCCTTTCAGAGTGAACAGGTTACAAGAAAATGCCACCTTCTGTTTGATCACAGTGTTCTGAAAAAGGCTTACTTTGAAGTTAGAGATTTCAGACTGTTACAGATCCCACAAACCACCTTGTTCTGCACCCACTGCTGCAGCTGCTCCTGGGAAGAGACTTGTTTGGAGGTTTCACTCTTGCCGAGATATTTACAATCTCTCATAAGAAGATTATCTCAACAGAGGGAATGTGTGGCCCTCCCAGCTCCCTGAGAATGGCACAATCTGCATTAGCTGGAGGATGCTTTTGGGGAGCCTAAGGGAAACCTCCATAACTTAATATGCATGTATGTATAATTTGAGGAACAGTCCATTTACTACTGAGTGCTGTCATACCTAGTATCATAAATTATTTTGATAGCTGAATTCAGCTCCTGTACCCACTGTTTGTGTATTTAGAAACCATGTATTAATCACACCTTAAATTATGCAGGAAGTAGTTTTAATTTGCTTTGGGAGGGGGCCCTAAAACCAGTATGATGGCTGGGAGTGTCTGACACAGCACTTAAACTGAATTCAGTTGTAGTTATTGTATTTTCAGTCTCGAAAGCTGAAAACTCCTGCATCAAATAGACTGCTTTAAGCTGTCTCAGTGCAGACCATCTTGGGTTTAGGAAATGTTAGCATACGTCACCTGAATTTTCTTGGTTCTTTGGCTTTCTCCTGTGTTGATGAGTGAGGGTCATGGATTTATATCTGCTGGATCCCAGCAAAGGCCAAGTCCTGACAAATGTTCAGTTCATCTGGGCTTATTAAAATCTTGGTCTGAAACTTAAATCTTGTTCTAAATGTAATTTCAGTGTATTTTTAAAGGACGCTTTTGTCTGGTAACATTCTAGAGCATATGTAATTTTTATAAAAATAGATGTCTGTGACTGCTATAAATTGGTTTTCCTCACTAAATATAGCATGTTGTCAGGTCAATGCATGACATTTGTGATACAAGCAAGGGTTGTTTGTCAAAAGCAAAGGCAGAGTTAGGAGTGGACCTTCAAAGCAGTTATTTTTCTTCCAAATGTATTTATATTCTGATAGATTTCAGTGGGATTGTGTCACTTACCTGACCCGGGAGGGTTTATTTCAAGGTCTAACCCCTGACGCTAGATTAAGGTTGTTAATGTATAGCTATATGGAGGAGTATTTGGACCCTTACATTTCTGTGAGAAGTAAATATTACACACGTGTGGTAACTACTGTTGGTGCTCTCAGCCAGTAAATGAAACCTGGCAGAGATTCGTTCCTTGGAGGACTGCAAGCATGCCAAGTCGGAACTTCAAACGGAAGTTTGAGTTATTAAATCGCATGAGTGCTTGCAAATATTTTCTGCCCTGGGAAGCTTTATCATTACAATAGTGTAAATGTCTGCAAGGATGAAGCCTCTTTTGCAGGCTTTGGAAACTCCAGTAGGGAGGAATGGCTCATCATGTGAGAAGGTGGCAAATGAAACCTGCCTCTCTTTGAGTGGGGTTAGCAATGCAAGGCAGGCTTTTCTTACCTACTGAATTGGTGGGGCTCAAACCAAATCTCCAGGCAAGAAATTATTCCTGCTCTCACTGAAATCAACCTCACATAGGGTAAGAGGAGAGAAACAAAACTTGATTTATACTACATGCAGCAGATGAGGGGCAGTAAACATGATTGAGAATGTTTTTGCTGTTCCGGATAAAGTCTGAAGAAGTGTGTGACAAAAAGTAGAATCTGATTTGAACTGCACGATTGACTGGGAATAGGATGTAATTCACAGTGTGACTGGAAATGGCAGGGAAGGGGAAATGTGGTACATACAGCTGTGTGTATCAAGTATGGTGTGTTTGTGCTCGTGGTTGTTACAGGTCTTATTATGAGGTTTGTGATTAAACAAGTAGAAAAACTGGTGATGTGAGTCCTCCTCAATGCAGTGTAAGAAGCTGGAAGTCCACTCCTTACCTGCAGCTCTTGCAAAACAGCTCCTTACTTTCTGTGGCCTTTTAGGTCCAAAGGCTGATTGTTCTTGGATTTCTTCATGAAAGTGATACTTCCCCCCAGAGCAGCTGTGGATGGTGACATTTGGGGGGGGGGGGCTTTTTTTTTTTTCCTTTTTGGCGCCTGAAGTATAACTCTGTTCCTGGAGTTAATGCTGATGAAGGTATTTTGATGCCAGTGTACTGTAAATCAGATGGGAACTGCTGTTCAAAACAGACCCTCCGAGTTCCATGTCATGTGGTCAATACGTACTATATCTCCTAATATTTTTGCCAGGGAAGAAGCATTTCTGCTTTATGGATTAGTAAAACCAAGTTGTGTAGGATTTGAAATGGGAAGTGTGAAAGAAACTTGCCGATTCTCAACTCTTCAGTGCTGCTATTAACCTCTTGAGTGTTGATGTATGTGGCTTTGTATTATTTTGAAGCCATTTTTTAGAGTGTGGGATGTCTTTACGGTAATAGTTTGGATTGGGAGAGATGATAAACCAGTCTGAGCTTCCTAATTTCTATGAATGTGTCTAATTCTAATTCAACTTTGATCTTTTAAGAATAGGGTTGGGATTTTTTTCTGTGTGCTGTCGGATACATTCTTTGGATGTAGGTACATGCCCTTTCTGAAAGCAGAGTTACAGTGGAAATGTGTATACTAGGGCTAAATACATTTGTGTTGGGGTGGGTGGTTGGTTTGGTTTTGTTTGTTGTTTTTTTTAATCAGTATTAAGCTTCTAAATTAAATGGATGCAGAAAACCAGTGCAGTAATTTCTGCTGTGGGATGATACTTGTGTTTCATTTCAATTTTCTTACATAAGAAGTATTTCGGACTGAAACTGGCAATGAAACCTTGTTTTTCTAGTAAGTTATATAAACATTTGAGCCATAGCTTGTCCTAAAATGCATTCACATGAAATCCTTACCATAAACTTCATTAGATGGCAAATGACCTCCAGTTTTGTCAGGTAAGGATTTCTTTCTGGTTTTCTTCTATGTGTGTGTTATTTCAGCATGATCTTTATCTACTTCTCCCTCTCCCCTCACAAAATTAGCCACATCTGTATGTTTTCCATCTGGTTTCTAGTACAAACGATGCTGCATTAATTTGGCTTATATTAGATTCAAAGAGCAGGACATGAGTACGAGTTGCTCATATAATATTGGAAAGCTACTTTGGAAGTAATTGAGGGCATTGAGATGTGAAAATGAAGTGTATATGCTAAATAAGAATTGCAAGGCCTCATCTTAGGGTTATGTTGTATTGAGATATGTGCAGAACGCCAGTGAGTACTGGTGTGCAAAGTGTGCTTGAATATGGAGTTGCGGAATGTGGATGTTTGACTGTCAGCAGTGTTTGTGGACTCCATGTTCCCTGTGTCCTTCCAGAGAGATGCAGTGGTCAAGGTAGAATTACCCGTGGTCCAAATCCAGCCCATGGGCTGCCATTTGTGTTGCTCTTCTGGCATGAAAAGGCTTGAGTTTATTCAGGCTTTTAGTGATTTGTCTGGTTTAAAACCGAAATCCAAACCTGCCTTACAGGAAGCGCTTTGCTTTAGTGGAGTTTGACTTCTCTTTGTGTAAAGATTATAAATCTTGGATGCTTTTGTGCTTCCTGCAGGATTTTTGTATGATCAGCCCAAGACAGCACTAAAAATTAGATTTAACTGTGGCCTGGTTTTAGATGGAGCATTTTAATGGTTAGAAACTTTTGGCCTGTAAGTATAGGCACATCAGCAGATAGGTGACTTTCATTATAGTATTCCCTAAAGAATGTTGTCTCTCAGTAGTAAGAAAATCTGAAGGCTCTGCATATGTAGAAGCTTCATTGTATATGTGAAAGCTTTTGTACATGTAGGTACTAGAACATTGGCTATTTTTCACGTCCTGTACTAGAAGCATGTTTGGTTTGATGGTACAGGGACTTCTTACTTGGATTCATATTGCTCTGCAGTGAATCCTGTGTGTTCTGAAGCCATTGTTAATTTTAGCACTTGAAAAAATTAACTCGTTTACTACTAATGTAATTAATCTCTCTGAAATAAGTCCTGCTGTTTTAACTGCATATCCACAAAGGAGTTGAGCATCATTTAATTACTCTTACTTTCCAAAGTCATTTCAGGTGTCTCTGTGTATAAAAATACCCAATTGCTTTGAAAGCTTCTCCTTGAAAATGGTGATGACAATGAAGTTTTATAGCAACTTCAGACTAGGTGTTAACCACTACCTCAGAGGTAACTTAGGCTTTCAAACTTTTAATGTCTGTTGTTCACAAAACATCTTTAAATGTCAGTTTGGATCATGTAGCAGGTTAGTGCTCCACTGAGGACTTCAAGCTCTAGTTTAGCAATTACAGAGGATAACAAAGCCGGATACTGGAAAGGAACTAGTCTCATCATATCCGGTGTTAAAGCTACGTGTGTATGCATTTACATCTATATGTGCAAAGCATTGTATGTGCTGCAGAAAGGTAGGTGTAGCTGGCCTAAGAGGAATTTTTGCTGTCAAATTGTGGCTTTTGGTATTTGCCTTCCCTGCAAAACACTACTTGGAAAACCCCTGTAACCTTCAGGTAGTTGGTCTTACTCATCTGTATCCCTTTCCTAATGTTTGTCTTGAGACAGACTGCACAGTAGATGGTTGTAAAAATTAATTAACATGTGTCTTGAGTTTATTAAACTAAAGTGGGGGGAAATGAGGATATTTGCTTGGGGAGAACAAATGACTGGGCTAAAAATACATGGTTTATACATATTTTGGGGGGAAGAAATCAGTAGTAAAACCTGAGTATGATGTAAAAGTTATCACACCCTCATCTTAGGAAATGGAGCCTCTTCTAAAGAGAGGTGCATGTGGTTTGTGGGGGTTTTCTTGTTCATGGTTTGTTGTTGTTGGGGTGCTTTTTAGGAGAAACTGTTACCTGTAGGTAATGGCTGCTTTTAAGGGTAGTGTCTTTTATCACAGAGTCACCCAGGTTGGAAAATACCTTTAAGCTCATCAAATCCAACCATTCCCCAGCACTGCCAAGGCCACCGCTAAGCCACAGCACTGGGGGCCTCATCTACATGGTGTGTGAACACTTTCAGGGATAGTGATTCCACTGCTTCCCTGGGAAGCCTGTTCCAATTTAGCCAAGTGAAATGAGCAGTCCGAGGGTTCTGTTTTCATTCTTGTGATCTTTTATTCCGGGAGTGTTGTTTTTTATGTTCTTTATCTTAAAATTGGGAAACACTTTCTGTCTTGCAGTTGGTGTCATCAGATGTCCCATATGCCGCCAAGAATGCAGACAGATAGATCTGGTGGATAACTACTTTGTAAAAGACACATCAGAAGCACCAAGCAGCTCTGATGAGAAGTCAGAACAGGTATAGCACTTTCCTGCTTGCTGAAATTCGCTTGCTGGCTTTGTCTATACATGTTAATGCTTTCCAGGAAAATGATGGTAACTGCCTGTTTCCCTTCGCAGGTGTGTACAAGCTGTGAAGATAATGCTAGTGCTGTTGGATTTTGTGTAGAATGTGGGGAATGGTTGTGCAAGACTTGCATAGAAGCTCATCAGCGAGTAAAATTTACTAAAGATCATATGATCAGAAAAAAAGAGGATGTTTCTTCAGGTGAGTGTGTGGGTATCACTATAGTAAGCTCCTTTTCTTTGGCACATATAGAAAGAGACAGGGAGAATTATCTGGGTAAGAACCAACTGTATGTATGGCTTTCTCCAAAGATTTGGGAAAAGTTTAGTAAAAAGCTCCCAGTGCAGAATTTGTAGCTCCAAAAATGGAGGAAAAATTAAATTTTAAACTCAAGTGGGTTATTTACTCACACTTTGTACAGTGTGATGTCCAAAGGAAGAAATATCTTAAGTAGAGAATGAGAGAGCAGTCTTTGGAAAGAATTTAGATCTTTGGAAAGAATTTAGATCTATTCTTAATAATCCTTTACTTTAGGAGAATAACTAAATGGAGGATTTAAATCTGGAGAGTACTGACATATCCATTGGCTAAGGAAATTCACCAACTACAGCAAAATGTATAAGGAGCAATTATAGTTCTCCCAGTAGAGAAGTATGCACAGATAAGCTCATAGCCATATTCAGTGTGATGTTACTGTTGTATTGATATTGCTGAGTAAATGTGGAGTTCAAATGTATTTTAGGTTAGCAAAATTTAATGTGTGAACTGTGTGTGCACTTTGGTTAGAAGTACAGCTTTATAGAACTTCTTAAACTGTTATTTGACTCTGTATTGTTTATAACCTGCTGAGGTAATGTGGAAAACATTCCCAAAGCAGGTAAAAGGAAGCTGGATTTTAGCTTAGAAGGTGTTATCTGTAAATGGGATTCAGATTTAAAGGCCTGTAGGTTCTACACAAGCTGAATGTACATGAAGACTGATCTTACTGAGGAGGAGAGATCTTCACGTTCTGCTCTCTCTGTCTCTCCATTTAGAATTAAGATCCTCATGATTGTTTCATTGTGCCATATCAAAAGGGTAACTGCTTTGCTTTCTGCCAACTCTCATCAAAATCAGATTAATAGTTAAAATTTGCTATTGAGCTTAGTTCTTTTAGAAAATGATCTTATTTCACTTGCTCTGTAAAAAACTTCATTTCTGGAGAAGTTTCTCTGTATGTTTTATTGGGTGTTCTTCAAAAAGAAGTATTATCTGTTTAAGTTTAAACGTATTAATCCTACTACGTGAGAAACACGGTGAAATCAAAGTATAGGGCCCTGCAAAGTGTTACTGATGTTACTGATGTTCCTCATTAGGAGAGCTATATTGTGACTGTCAAGGTGATACTGTAGCTCTGCTTCCCCTTCACTAAACCTGAGGCAGAAGTGCCAAAAATTGGCTGTTCCAATAAAATAAACCTTGTATCAGAAATGTAGGTTGGTGTTTGTAGGAAGCCAGCTTGGAGCTGGTGTGGTAGCCTATGGCAAGAATGTAGCCTTCCTTTGACCTGACCTACTGATCCTTAGAAACTGTCTTGACTCTTGGGGATGGCAGTTCATTATTTTCTTGGAGGAGCTTGTGCCTTCTTTTTTATAAGAACCAAAGATACACCCTGGAGACTTTAAATTCCTGTTACTGAGTGTCAGCTGTAAATTCATGAGCTCTCTTTTCTTTACAATAACTTGCATGATATAACAAGCTTCAGAAATGTTGGAGACATTCATGTTTAAGACATTTAAGACATTCATGTTTTAAACCTTACCTGCTGTATCTTCCAAAGGCTGCTTTCCTCTGTGCTAAGCTCAAAGTATTCTTAGAAGACTGTGCAGCACTTCTTCGTAAGCTCAGAACTGCTTTTTGACATTATCGTCTATTATTTGCTAAAATGGAAAAGGGAAGCAGATCAGCTGGAGTTTAAGTAACCCTTAACATGGGCAATGTTTGCTTTGTATTTACCACTTCAGTTGCATATGACTTGATGAGCTTTATAAAGGGTTTGTAGTGACAGTTTAGAAAACCTAAGGGTGTTTGACAGTGTAAAAGCTCGTGAAGTTTGATCCGTCCTTCAGTGCATCAGGTGAAATTGCACACAGTTTAACTGTGACCATGTGTACACGATCCTGGTGTTGTGTACAGGCTTTGTATTCTTACAGATGCCAGTGTCTTGAGTGGTTGTGATAGGAGAGGAATTTCTCCTTCTCTTTCAATACAATCAAGTAGAAGCAGCTATAAGCTGCTGGCACTGTAAATACTTCAATGAGAACCTATTAATGGGAACTTGAGCGTGAGAACAGGTCTATAGTTGTCTTTCTCCACATTCTTGGTTGTTACTGGGCTTGGAAGTGAGTTGTTTTGCTCTTCAGATCGTGTCAGTTTGATTTTTACAATGCAAAACTGGTTTATTTTTAAAAACAGAGGCCGTGGGAGCATCTGGTCAACGTCCTGTTTTCTGTCCTGTCCACAAACAAGAGCAGTTAAAACTTTTCTGTGAAACATGTGACAGGCTGACATGCAGAGACTGTCAGTTACTGGAACACAAAGAACACAGGTACAAATATTACCATGTCTTAATTCCTGTGGTGTGCTTTCTCAGAGGATGAAATGGCATTTTATGTCCTAAATACTGTTGTATGTGCTCTTTGGGCTGAAATGATCCCTTGCGAAGGAAAACCTGTGTGGAGTGCTGAAAACTTTGAGCCATCAGTTGGTTGAGCTTCATGAAGTATCCTAAGAGCAGATTCAAACCAACATGGGCTGAGGTGACTTGGTGTGATTGTTAACTGGCATTTACCAATGCTGTCAGGATTTGAATAGAAATTGCTACAGCCCTGAGTACCTGGTGCTGTAAAGAAGCAGAAAGTGAAATAGTCATGGATGAGGTAATTTCTTAAAAGGGCATCTTTTCTTAGGCACCAGTTGTTCAATTTAGGGTATTTTTGTAAGGTATAAATTTTGCATCGTAGATTAATATATTCTTATGGTATTAGAGGGGAAAAATTGCATGATTTTAGTTTGTTGAACATTGCCTCACTCCAAGTAAAAAGTAATGCTGGTGTTTGTTTCCAGAGCTTGCTGGTAGAAAAAGGTTGGAACTTCTTAAGATCCATTAAAACTTCCTGCTCTTTAGCAGCTCTGTTGTAGAGTTGTTTGAATGTTTGAAAAAGTAGTTTGCAGTGTTATCACAGTATGCTAGAGATTGGAAGGGACCTCGAAAGATCATCTACTCCAATCCCCCTGCCGGAGCAGGAACACCTAGGTAATGTTACACAGGAATGTGTCCAGGCGGGTTTTGAATGTCTCCAGGGAAGGAGACTCCACAACCTCCCTGGGCAGCCTGTTCCAGTGTTCCATCACCCTCACTGAGAAGAAGTTTCTTCTCAAGTTTAAGTGGAACCTCTTGTGTTCCAGTTTGTACCCATTACCCCTTGTCCTATCATTGTTTGCCACTGCGTAGAGCCTGGCTCCATCCTCGTGACACTCCCCCTTTATATATTTATAGACACTTATAAGGTCACCCCTCAGTCTCCTCTTCTCCAAACTATAGAGACCCAGCTCCCTCAGTCTTTCCTCATAAGGGAGATGCTCCACTCCCTTAATCATCTTTGTTGCCCTGCGCTGGACTCTCTCCAGCAGCTCCCTGTCCTTCTTGAACTGAGGGGCCCAGAACTGGACACAATATTCCAGATGGGGTCTCACCAGGGCAGAGTAGAGGGGAAGGAGGACCTCTCTCGACCTACTAACCACCCCCCTTCTAATACACCCCAGGATGCCATTGGCCTTCTTAGCCACAAGGGCACAGTGTTGGCTCATGGTCATCCTGTCGTCCACTAGGACCCCCAGGTCCCTCTCCCCTGCACTGCTCTCTAACAGGTCGTTCCCCAACCTATACTGGAACCTGGGGTTGTTCCTGCCCAGATGCAGGACTCTACACTTTCCCTTGTTATATTTCATCAAGTTACTCCCTGCCCATCTCTCCAGCCTGTCCAGGTCTCGCTGGATGGCAGCACAGCCTTCTGGCGTGTCAGCCACTCCTCCCAGCTTAGTGTCATCAGCAAACTTGCTGATAGTACACTCAATTCCCTCATCTAAATCGTTGATGAATATATTAAATAATACCGGTCCCAGCACTGACCCTTGAGGCACTCCACTAGTTATAGGCCTCCAACTAGACTCAGCCCCATAGACTACAACTCTCTGGCTTCTCTCCTTCAGCCAGTTCGCAGTCCACCTCACTACCTGATCATCCAGTCCACACTTCCTCATTTTAGCCGTGAGGATGCTGTGGGAGACTGTGTCAAATGCTTTGCTGAAGTCAAGGTAGACCACATCCACCGCTCTGCCATCATCCATCCACCGTGTTATTTCCTCATAAAAGGCTAAGAGATTGGTCAAACATGATTTCCCCCGGTGAAGCCATGTTGACTGCCCCTCATAACCCTCTTATCCTTGATATGCCTTAAGGTGGCACCAAGGATAAGGTGTTCCATCACTTTCCCAGGGATGGAGGTGAGGCTGACTGGTCTATAGTTACCCGGGTCCTCCTTCTTGCCCTTTTTGAAGACTGGGGTGACATTTGCTTTCCTCCAGTCCTCAGGCACCTCTCCCATTTCCCAAGAGAACCTGGGGATATAATAGAGAACCTGGGGATAAATAAGTATTTATCAGCCACTGCAGCACTGGTTTTCCCAGTCAATCTACAAGGGAGATTTCTCTGTGAAAGGGATTGTCAGTATGTTGCAATATTGAATTTAGTGTGTGTTTTACAGAGTAGTGTTTGCTCTCATAGGCTGCTACAGCAGCCTAATGGAGCGCTTTTACTTCTGAAATGAATACTGTTAACAGCCTGTTTCATAGGCTTGATCATAAATACCCTGAAAGATGTGTCCAAAACAGTGTGGTCTCCTAGGATATGTAAACTAACTTGTTCTAGTTGGTTTCTTTGCATCTGTTTTGTGCCTGATGCTAACTAACAGATGTATCTTGTTCTACTGACCTGTTCTCTTCCACTAAGAGAATACTTTGCTATTAACATGCTACCTTGCAGAATCTTCTTTTAAACTGAGTTCTGTCTGCAGATGTGACTTACAGATGGTTAGGGTGACTGCTTCATCTGCCATGAAGTACAACTGAGATCTTTATGAAGGTCACTAAATAAAGTGGAAACAAAGATTAGTTTTAATCTGTTTACTTCTTACCTGAAATACCAATAGTTTGCCCCAAAGGAGGATGAATCACCACTTTAGCAGCAATGTGGTCCAGTGTTCAGTGCAGAGTTTCAAGTGAATTGCTGGTACTTCTGTAGAAAGCATAAAGTTTACTTACTGAAGACAAGAAGTGGCAAGTGACCGATAGGAATCTTGGGGCTTGAGGGGAATCTCTGGGTAGTTGAGAAAAAACAGAGAAGATTAAAACTCTTGGAGCTACTTAAATCCCAGTGCCGTTTCCAGCTTAAGTGTTCTGCTTCTGTTGCACTGTTCATTCCTCTTGTATGTTAGGAAAATGCAACTAATTTCAATAGTTTCCTTTGATGTAGCTACTTGCACTCTTTTCAGATGAGGTAATGGAAGGTGCCTTTGATATAGAAGCTGTTTTCTTGAAAGACTTGGAAGGGAATGATATGTTCTTCACATGGAAGTATGAAAGAGTTTAGGTTTTTATTTAAATAGGACTGTTTTCTTTCAGATTAAGCTAATTCAGTCAAATATGAGCAGTATAATAGCAGCTGGAAAAATAGTTTTCTGTGATAGGAGTTTTCTGTATCATTTAATGTATGTTTAAGCTATTAGTGCATTTTTCTCATTAATGCCAGCAAAATGATTTGCCAAGCTTTGAAGCTTCTGCTGTATGCTTTAGCTGGGGCTCCATTGCTTGCTGTCTGGTGAAACGATGCAGCACATCGTCTCCCTGCATAGTTGGAATTAATGTGACCCATAGGAGTTCAGTCTTCTGGACACTTGCAAAGGATTTTATCAGTACTGAATCATTTTACACACTGGTGTACACAGTTTGATTTTTCTGTGTGTTTTGTCATATTTTTTCCAAAAGCTTTGTATCTAAATTGGAACCTTGAGTTTCAGCCCATTCCTCCTTGGTAATTGCTATCTTTTGCATGTTGAAAAGGTATCAGTTTCTGGAAGAGGCTTTTCAGAACCAGAAGGGTGCAATTGAGAACCTATTGGCCAAACTTCTTGAGAAGAAGAACTATGTAAATTTTGCAGCTGCCCAAGTTCAGAATAGGTGAGTACCCAAAATGATGAATTGTTACTATTACATTCCTTTGAATGCACCACACTAAGATGAGTGATGAACTAGAATAATACTTCACATTTTAATTGATTTTGCATCTTAAGTCATATTGGAAATTGCGTAGGAAATCGTGAATAGTTTGCTTTAAGCAGGCAGGCAAAACTTAGTGTCATTACCTGACAGGAAGACAAGCTTTTCCTCGGGTAGCTTAACATTAGAATTCCAGAATGAGTGTAAATTCATTGTCCTGTAGAACACTGAATATAGAGACAGAGAGAGCACAAGATCACTGCTGTTTTTTTCACCCTCTCATGGTGATGTGGTGTGCTGGAGGTCAGGGAATTCCACTGTAATTCCAGTGGTTTCATGAGCCTTCTGCACCTTTTATGTCACTTGCAGAATGACACCTCATGTGGAGATGGGAAGTACAAGGGAGAAGGAAGTGCCCCAAAGATAGAAGGGGAAGTTCTGGTGCAAATTTTTAACTCCTAGTGATAACATGTACATTTAAAAAAATCCCCAAAAGACTTGCAAGGGAAGGAGAACATAGAACATGGCAGAGGCAAGTGTGCAAAGGTGGAAGTAATGGAAATTAAATTCTTTGCATTGACTCAGCATGAAACTCTTTGAAGTTTCCCAAAAGTGAACACCATCGTGAAGGAGGAGGACAAGCTGTAGAATTGTTACATCTTTGAAGAAGAGACAGAGACTCGGCTTAATGGGAAATAATTAAACTAAAAGGCCAAGGAATCATAGAATCATAGAATGATTTGGGTTGGAAAGGACCTTAAGATCATCCAGTTCCAACCCCCTGCCGTGGGCAGGGACACCTTCCACTAGACCATGTCACCCAAGGCTCTGTCCAACCTGGCCTTGAGCACTGCCAGAGATGGGGCATTTACCACTTCTTTGGGCAGCCTGTTCCAGCGCCACAGCACCCTTACAGGGCAGAACTTCACAAAAGGTTCTGTGATATGAATTCAAGGCCAATAATGGCTGGGGCATATACAAGTAACACATTATAATGGTGGGTTTTGTCTAAGAGTTTCTGGCTTCACTGAAAATTCAGTGAATTTCTGCAGCATGTGGTTGCGTTGTGTAAAGCTTATGATTATCTACTGAGCCAAATGGATTCTGCAAGTGAGACAGTAGGTTACTTTGCCCTTCTATGCAGTGCTGAAGTGTAGGGCACAAAATATGTTATCATAAATCTTCAGGGAATGAAAAAAAGTGTATATTACAATAATGTTGTCAGTGTTAGCAGATGGTATGAAATTGCCATCCTATGTGATTGTGAAGCATAAAACAAGGTAGAAAGAATAACTGCCTGGAATAATTGGTAGGTGCCAAGCCCAAGGATGGATGTCTACTGACTTAATGAGGAGTTGGTTGAATGCTTGTTGAAGACCAGGTTGTGCTGTGAAAAAGCACAACTTGTGTCCAGGGTGCCTTAAGCGGCATTTAACACCAATCATGAAGATGTCAGACACATGAGTATTGGTCTTGTGATCCTGTCAGAATGAATGACATTGTGAGTTCAGATGCTCGATCTAGGAGTGAAGAAGCCCTTCAGAAAAGGACAGCTGAAGTCTTTGCACTCAGACTGGCTCATGCAAGGTGGTGTGTTCTGCTGCCTACAAGCGAAGCAAAGAATCCTCCTGCAACATTATGTCATCAGTAGATTTAAGGCAGCATCAAGTAAATCCCAAATTTGCAGTGAGGTTTAAGAAATGCTTTATTTCAAATTCTGTGGACAGAGATATGATTTAGTGTAAGGTGTCCCTGCCCACGGCAGGGGGGTTGGAACTAGATGATCTTAAGGTCCTTTCCAACCCTAACGATTCTATGATTTGCTTGAGATTGAAGTTGAGAATAGTGAAGACACTAAAACTGAGGAAGAATGGACAGTGATGGAAATGAAGAGATAGAAGGGCAGTAGTAGTAAAGCGCAAGAGAATATAACCTAATGTTGAGCAAATTGTTAGTGAATTGTTTGCTCTTGTGTATTGGCCTGTAATACCTTACAGGCATGTAATAATCTTTTTGTTACGAGATTTTCTGGGGGAGGTGGAGGAACCAATCTGAAACTCATGATTCACTTCCTTTCCTTAGCATAAAAGGTTAAGGCATCATATATAAATTCTTCACAGTGAAAAAGACATGATATAGAGATAAATATATACATGTACATACGCACATGTCTTGGCTGGGTATGTCTCTGTATAAAGCACATAAGCCACAAGGTCTGTTTCATATAATTTTAAGTCAAACCCGAGTTGTAATTGAGACACCATCTTGATCTCAGATTATACCATATTTTTTCAAACCTGAAATTTTAGATGGCTTCTTTGATAAAGCTGATTAATGATTATTTCTCTTAGAACTCAAACAAGCTATATGTTTTGCATGCATCGGAACTCCTTCAATAACAGAAGTTTCTCCTTCACTCTCCAAGGGTCAGTGATGTTGAGTATTGACTGCCTGACAATACATTTCTCTTTTTTTTAGGATAAAAGAAGTAAATGAAACAAACAAACGGGTAGAACAGGAGATCAAAGTGGCTATATTCACCCTCATCAATGAGATCAATAAAAAGGGAAAATCTCTCTTACAGCACCTTGAGGTACAGTTAAGAGAAAATCTAGTAGTGTTGTTTGCTGTTTCCAGTTCCCTATTCAGAATTTATATTCCATGTTTATTCTTCACAGTGTAAATTCCCAGAGGTAGGTCTGTAATTTGTCTTGAGCACATAACAAATTGCAGCTTTACATCATGATTTCCTCTCCTGCTTGTTGTTAAAATCGGATTTCCTCCTTTTGCTTGCATAGGGTGGTGGCATGAGGCGAAAAGGGCAGGGAAGTGACAGGTGATCATTTTAACTCCTGGTGTCCTAGTGGCACTTGTTAGTATTTGTTCCCTTAGTAATTCTCATAACTGGTGTTGACTGCTAACAAATCCTGACCCTTTAAGTACACCTAGGTTTTCAAAGATGTGGTAGTCATACGTGTTTGTATGTAAAGGTATTTTAAGTTCTATAGATTGTCATTGTAAAGGAGGCAATGACTTTAAGCATACTTTCCAGCATATTCTGGTTAATAATTATATTCACTTTATTCAAATCTCTGGAAATTTAACTTATGATTTCAGTTTTTACCTGAAGAGAGGAAATCCATCAGAAGTTAGTGCAGAACATGCTGCCAGTCTGCATGGTGTGGCTAAGAAAAATAAGACCAACTTAATTACAATAGATTTCTTCTGGTTAAGGAGCAGCTATTTGTCAATGACATCAAATATTCCTTTTCTGTTGACACAGCATTTGTTGCAGGCTAGAAAATTCCATTGGAAAGTTGCCTTTTGTTGTGAGGTTGTAACAGTTGCCCAATCCTGAAGATTGAGCTTCCTGTTTTCCCTTTATATTGATACCTCTGTGAAGACTGATAGAGAGGAATAATAGCTATCTTGCTGGTTCTAGCTGCTCTGAATATGAGCATTAGCATAAGCTGCTTTGCTTGTGACAGTTTTCTTTTGCTCCAGGATCTGTGATAGCAGTTCACGTTTTTCTCCTAAGTCTGAAGCCTCCATTATAATTAAGTTTTTGTTTCTTTGTAGAATGTAACAAAGGAGAGACAGATGAAGTTAATACAACAACAGAATGACATCACTGGTCTTTCCAGACAAGTGAAGCATGTGATGAACTTTACTAATTGGGCTATTGCAAGTGGGAGCAGCACTGCTTTGCTATACAGTAAACGGCTGGTAAGGAAACATCCTTTAATTTGTCTGTGCAATACAGAGAATGTTCAGTCAAAAGAGTGTTCGAAGTATCCTGTAGCTTCACTAGATTATATCCATGGAAGAGACAATGAGTTATTCATGCTTCATTTAAAACAGAAAAAAAACCCTCTGTAATAATAGAGTGAATTTCCTGAATTGCACACCGCTTTTCATTTGTAAAGTAAGGACTTAACAGTAGGATCATAAAGGAATGGGGTCAAGCTCTGTAAAGGCACCTCAGTGTTTTACTTGAGTCATTGTAGTAGTATTGTGTAACAGCACTTCTCCGTAATCCTCTGAGTCGAGTAAAAAACTAATTGTACAATGGATGTTTTTCCTGGTGAATTGTGAATTTCCAGGCTAGGAACTAAACTTGCTATTGACATTCCTTGTTGGTGATCCAGCAGTTTAATCTAGCTGGGCAAACACACACTTCTTAATGTCCTCATTCTTTACTTCATTGTCCTCACCAGTCTTGTTTCTGATTCCCATTAGATAACATTCCAGTTACGGCATATTTTAAAGGCGCGTTGCGATCCCGTCCCGGCTGCCAATGGAGCAATCCGCTTCCATTGTGACCCTACGTTCTGGGCCAAGAACGTTGTCAATTTAGGTGAGAAAATGGTGTGTATTTATTCTGAAAAACTAGTTACTTAAAAAAACAGATTGAATTGGGGTTGTTCATCCAACGTGAGTGAGTTGGAGTACAATACATCTCGTAATGCAGAAGACCAAAACTCTCTTGACATAACCCATGCAGTCCTGGTTACTCTCTGTGTCTGCTCTGTTCTTTCTGTTAGCAAAACTAATGTTAGAAACATCTGAATATTCTGCATTTATCAACCTTCAGATGATGATGGAGATTTAAGTGTTTACTGGTTCTTCTTTTGGCTTTCTTTAGGTAACCTTGTCATTGAAAATAAACCAACTCCTAGTTACACTCCTAATGTAGTGGTTGGACAAACTCCTCCAGGAACAAACCACGTCAACAAAGCTCCAGGACAAATCAATCTAGCGCAGCTTCGCCTTCAGCATATGCAGCAGCAGGTGTATGCACAAAAGCATCAGCAAATGCAGCAGATGAGGATGGCACAGCCAACTGGGTCAGTTCCCAGGCAGACAAGTCCACAAGTCATACAGCAGCAGGTAAGTATCTTGTATGTTGTTATTTTATGTTTTACAGTAGCACTGAGAGTTAAATAGCTCTATCAAATATTAATCTACAAAGCAGTTTATGAACATGAAATTCTTTTGAAATTTACCATACTTGAAATGTGACAGCTCTTGGCTTTTCTTGATGTTTGTAACTAATAAACCTACTGTGGAAAGAGATTGGCTTCTTTTTAACATGTTCAAAGCACCAATTTTAAAACCCAAAAACCCTTGCAGCCTCCCAGGTTGATCAGCATGCAGACCATGCAGAGGGGTAACATGAACTGTGGGGCTTTCCAAGCACATCAGATGAGAATGGCTCAGAATGCTGCTCGTATACCAGGAATACCACGCCACAATGGACCACAATACTCCATGATGCAGCCTCACCTTCAAAGACAAGTATATCCTGTGTACACGCTTCATTTGTGCCATTGTGCCAATCTGTCATTACAATAGATGATACCTCCAGCTGTAAATGTATTTATGTAGCGTGTAGAACTCGCAGCTACGCACATGTGCTTTTTCGTGTGGCATATTGTACTGTGAACATCAGAAAATCCAAACCATAGGAGTGAAAATGAGTTCTAATGTTTGTGTTTCATTTTTGTTCTGGGAAACAAAACATTTCCTTTTTCATTTTTCCGTGACATTCAGCTTTTAGGTTTCCTAGAGAACAGTCAAAGAGTAGTGAAGTTCAAAGTGATGTAGTTGAGGGTTTCTAATGAAACCAAATTCAAAGCAGTTTTAAATTTAAACCTGAAGCATGATGCAGAGCTCTGCATACCATTCAGAATGAAAGTTCTTGACAATGAATGCTAATGTGACTGGAAAATCAAAAATTACTCTATAATACTTCAAACAATTACTCTGTAAGTTTGTAGACAGACGTGGACTCTGAAGTTGTCTTTGGAGGAAATAATTAAGAAAATCGTATATGAACACGATTTTGTGGAATACGTGCTGTATGTTTAAACATCTAGCCACATAAAGTGCTTTTTCTTTCCAAGTAAATAAAAACAGCAGTTGCTTTGCATTCAGTGCTATCAGGTTATGTTGATAGAAATGTAAGTTTATAAATTTCCCCCTAATTCTTGAGGACTATCCTATAATGCACGTGTTTTACATGCAGTGTCTGTCCTATTTGTCTGCAGTGCAGTCATGGTCCCTTCTCTTTTCCTGCAGCATTCTAACCCTGGGCACGCAGGGCCTTTTCCAGTTGTTTCTGCGCACAACACCACTATTAATCCAACCAGTCCCACTACAGCAACAATGGCGAGTGCGAACCGTGGTCCAACGAGTCCGTCCGTTACTGCAATTGAACTCATTCCTTCTGTGACAAACCCCGAGAACTTACCTTCCCTGCCAGATATCCCACCCATCCAGGTCAGTGGAGGAGATCAGGCTGTGGGTGAAGTAACGATCTGCTTTCCATTCTCTTTTTTTATTTGGTTATTGGTACTTGTCTGTGGAATGGTATAAATTACCATTTAGAGTTGAAGAATTAACATCTTCAGCCCTTGACTTGGGCCTGTAACTTATTTCACTATACAGGGCTGACCTGCTTGACCTGTGTTAGTCTTTAGATTAATCACTACTTAATGGCTGTCCTGTAGTGAAATTGATACTTGGATTAGTTAATCCCAACTACTGTTTGCTTCCTTTCTTCCACAAGACTACTGTATGCGAAGATATCACTGGAAGAGTTGAATAGTTACGTATGTTGAATGACTTGAATGGAGATTTATTTTAAGTTACCTGGCACTTCCCTGGGATGTTCCTAAATATGACACTCAAATGTAGGAAGTACTGAGAAAAGGTGTCCCACTGCCCTACTTGTCTGTCTGCTCTCCATTTCCTCTGTACCCCAGTAGAGTGGCTCTAATAATTTCCTTGTATGCAAGAAGCCATTTACATCCAACATTTACGTCCAAGTAGATTTTCTGGTGTAATACCATAGCAACTTGTTTAACTCTTAGAGTCATGTTCAGGGGGTTGTATGCTCATGTTTTCTCACAAGGCTGCAAGTAATTTGCATGTAACCATAGTGAAGGGGGGGAAGAAAGGATCACATCTGAATCTGGTTTATGTGCAGTGCTGAAGCTTTATTTAGTCACTAGAACAAAACACAAGTATAACCAACTGGTTATGACTGTATAACATCAGAGCATCACCTGTTTGTGTCCAAAGTTTATGATACACCAAGTTAGAAACTTTTGGCAGTGGGATGTATAAAATATAAGCATGCAGCTTCTGGGTACACTGAAAAAGCAGAATTTGGTTCAGATGCTCTTTTTCTATACTTGTTTATAGCTGTCATGGATTTCAAACGCATCATTTGCAATTATGCTGTTTTGCAGTTAATAGCTTTAAGGAGATAATAAGTAATAGGGTACCTGTGTCCTTGTTTTAAATGTATCAAAATCTGCACAGAAGTGAGTGGGAGGGAGCAAGATTTTCACATCATCCTGAAGTAAAACTAGTTCATGATTTCCCTTAGTATCTTAACTGTGGAATAACTGGTCACATTAGTAATCTGGTAGTTCATGTGACTGACCACCGTTTGTATGACTAACACACTGAGCATCTGGGAACCAAAAAGTTTGGAATGACCTAGAGTAAGTGTAGCCCATGACTGTGGAAGAACTTCCATGACTGGAAGAACTCAGATATTTGGGAGCTATTGAGAAATCTCACTTTAAGTTTCTGGCTGTGGGTTTCTGTTTTGAAAGTCTATCTCTGTATGAAAGTGATAGAAATGTTTGCTGATGTCCTGAAACCTTGTGGGCAGAGTGTACAATTCTGGTAAAGACAGTGATCACAGTTTGAAGATGTGGAACTATTCAAAAGGTTTACTTAGGCCTCACTGATTCAGACTTTTGGTTTTTCTTCTTAGCTTGAAGATGCTGGTTCAAGTAGCTTAGATAACCTTCTAAGTAGATATATCACAGGCAGCCACCTACCCCCACAACCCACAAGTACCATGAATCCCTCCCCAGGACCTTCAGCTCTATCGCCAGGGTCATCAGGTGAGTGTGATGGGGATTTCTAATGATTCTAAAAAGCAAATGGGTATTTCTGGCATTTAAGTTGAAAACAATTACCTTCCATTTCCTGCCACCAGGGAAGTTCTGCTAGAATTTGATTTGCTCAGAAATAAATTCCTCTGGAAATTTCAATGTTACCCTCCTTCAGAAATATCTTTACAGTAAGAAACTGCCAGCACATGAATGCAGTATTCCAGATACATGTAGAGACTACATTGTTCTATCTCGTCTTACCATGATGACTGGCTAGACTTTTCTGAGGTTTGGGAAGTAAGTTTCTAGAATAGCTTAGGATGCCGTGGAGGGACTCTTCATCAGGGAGTGCAGCAATAGTATAAGGATAATAAGTTCAAACAGGGGAGATCTAGGTTAGATATAAGGAAGAAGCTCTTCCCTGTGAGGGTGCTGAGGCACTGGCACAGGGTGCCCAGAGAAGCTGTGGCTGCCCCATCCCTGGCAGTGTTCAAGGCCAGGTTGGACACAGGGGCTTGGAGCAAGCTGCTCTAGTGGAAAGTGTCCCTGCCTGTGGCAGGGGGTTGGAACTGAATGATCTTAAGGTCCTTTCCAACCCAAACCAGTCTGTGGGTCTATGATTCTTAGTCACAGGAATATCATTTGAGCAAGGTCACACTAATAGTAGCAGACGGATGATAAAGCTTTCGTTATGGATGTGAACAAATTAAGTCACCAGTACCTAATGTTGAGTTATTTAAACATTGAAAATGTCCATTTCTATTAGTAAGAAGCCAATTTAATTTGATAATGTGTTTCTCTTAGTCTTCTCCCTGTAAGATTATTGTAAAACTCTGTGAATGAACGGTTGCAGCAGCAGAACTTATGTTTCTCAAAAGCCAAGTGCAAAACAATCTGCTTTTCTTGACTTTATTCGTGGATGTCAGTGGACAACATTTGAGGACTTAATAGGCTGAGGGCTACAGCACTGTTTGGATTAGGTGAAATAGATTTGTACAAAGTCAACTTCTATGATTCTATGATTTAGCGTGAGGTGTCCCTGCCCACGGCAGGGGGGTTGGAACTAGATGATCTTAAGGTCCTTTCCAACCCTAATGATTCTATGATTCTAACTTGTATGCTGCTTCTTTGCAGGTTTATCCAACTCCCACACTCCTGTGAGGCCACCTAGTACCTCCAGCACAGGGAGCAGAGGAAGGTAAGTGTGCTAACACTGCAGGCTGAAAAATCAGACATGAGTTCAAATAATGAATTGGTAGTGGGTCAGTATGGCTTTGATATAATTGTGACCCAGTAATGGAAGGATGCTTGCATGAGACTGATTTGCCTCCTTCACCTCTTTCACTATGATTCTCTGCTGTCTTTTAAACTTGATCTACCTCATGAATGTTCTGACATGCTTTGACTTTGAAATTGTACAGGAAACAGTCACTATTTTTTGCTGTGATGAGTTTTCCTCTTATTTACACACTGGTATCTCTCTAGCTGTGGCTCCTCGGGCAGAACTGCTGAGAAAACAAGCATTAACTTCAAGTCTGACCAAGTGAAAGTCAAGCAAGAGCCAGGGATGGAAGAAGAGATATGCAGTTTCTCAGGAACAGTTAAACAGGAGAAAACAGAGGATGGCCGAAGGAGTGCTTGCATGGTAAAGTTAGTTTGTGCAACAGTATGTAATGGCTTGCCTTAAGCATCAAATTCTGTGATTTAACATGGTTTATGTACTGGGTGATGGATTTGGGGATTTTTCCTAGTGACAGTGAAGGTATATTTTTAACCACTTACTGGTGTGTTTGTCTTGAAAGTTTGATCATGTTATATCAGTAGAAATGTCTGTTCTTGAAAAGGGTGGACTTGCGAACAAGTAGTATTCAATACTGTATGCGACTCAGGTCTTCATGATTTGCCATGTATTGTGGGAGATGAGTATAGTACCTCTAAATGGTGGGAATGCTTTTGACTTGCAACATAGGAAGAAAGATGGCCGTGTAAAATTGACTCTGATTTTCATGTGCTACTTTCATTTCAGCTTAGCAGTCCTGAGAGCAGCTTGACACCACCACTGTCCACCAACTTGCATCTGGAAAGTGAATTAGAAGCATTAGGAAGTCTTGAAAATCATGTAAAAACTGAACCAGCAGATTTAAGTGAAAGCTGCAAACAGTCTGGACATAGCCTTGTAAATGGAAAATCCCCAGTGCGGAGTTTAATGCACAGAGCAGCAAGAGTTGGAGGAGAAGGCAATAACAAAGATGATGATCCAAATGAAGACTGGTGTGCTGTATGCCAAAACGGAGGGGATCTATTATGTTGTGAAAAGTGTCCAAAGGTGTTTCACCTGACTTGTCACGTACCGACACTCCTCAGCTTTCCAAGGTACCAGAAAGACTGTAATGGTTCCTGAGAGCAGCTCTGTGCTCTCATTCATATGGTAGATCTCAACACAGTGTCAAAACTGGTGCTTCATCCTCAGCATCAGCTAGTTCTGGATGACTTCCTGTCAGTAAAAAACAATCTGACATTTCAAAGGCCTGCCTGAATTGCTTAATTTTGCATGTAAGTGGTCAGCATTTATCTGATAAACACATGGTCTCTCAAAGTAAGATTCTGTTATTTAAAGTCAATTTTAAAGTCATGGTAAGAAGGTGTTGTAAAGTATTACTTGGGAGAGAAATGTGAGGGCAGGAAAAATGCCAATGACTGGCAGAATTACCTTGAACATTAAGGGTTATTCTTTATCTTTGAGTATCCCAAGTCTTTACTACAGTAAGATGTGAATCTGTTAGGGCTAACAAAAGAATCGTTGTAGTCATCACTAAAGAGACTTTGTCCTTGGATACCTGGAATAACGGTGTTTGTTTCTGTTTAGTGGAGAGTGGATATGTACATTCTGCAGAGATCTGAGCAAACCAGAAGTAGAATATGATTGTGACAATTCACAACACAGCAAGAAAGGGAAAACAGCACAAGGCCTGAGTCCTGTGGACCAAAGGGTATGTCTCACATCTGTGGGAATCTGTCGCATAGGCAAATGTGTCTTCTCAAATTAGCTGTCCCCCCACTGCTTCTTGAAGATGTTTTTGCTGTGGCTGCAGAAAATTAAGTACAGTTGTGGCTTTAGCAAACAAAGCCCTGACATGAGTACTGAGACTTTTCCTGCTGTCCCCATGTACCCAGATGTCGATGACAATGTGGGAGTGCTCCATCACATTGGCACTGTAATCATTTTGTTGCTAAAACTTCCATGTAAACACCTATTTTGTATTTAAATACATCCTTTAACATGGATGAATGTCTTCAGTGTTCTTAATTAGAAGTTCTTTGCATTTAACATTGATATAACCTTATAAATAGCTATGTGAGCTTGATGCATTAAGTTCATGCTGAGAGAGGTGCTAGCAATATTGAGGTGCATACTTGTAGAAGGTGTAATGACCTTGATGGTCAGAATTGTCCTGAGCTTTATCCCATCAGTCTGTGCATAATGAAATTGAATTCCTCCAAAGGAATTACAAGCAATGGAGGGGAAAATATTTCAACAGGAAATTTGTAAAAACATTTACATTTGATAGTTAAACTTGTGGGGGTTGCATTTCAGCTTTCTAGTATTAAGCTGATAAAGTACAAACCTGCTTAAAATAGGGAGATGGGAACTTCTAGTCTGAGGATAAATTAAGGATATTAATGTGAAGCTGTTTATTTCTTTCTTAAGAAATGTGAACGTCTCCTGCTTTACCTGTATTGTCATGAGCTGAGCATTGAATTTCAAGAGCCAGTCCCAGCCTCGGTGAGTCTCCTGAAAAGTAGTTGGTGATTTAGTGATAGTTTAGATGGATTGGTTTGTGATGGTTAGTGCCCCATCCCTGGCCGTGTTCAAGGCCAGGTTGGATGGGGCTTAGAGCAACCTGCTCTAGTGGAAGATGTCCCTGCCCGTGGTAGGGATTTGGAACCAAATGGTCTTTAAGGTCCCTTCCAGCCCAAAACAATCTGGGATTCAGTGACTTCTTTTTGGCATAACATCCCTCAAAGTCTAGAGTTGAGTTCAGGAAGGAACTGAGAGCTTTTACTTGAAGAATGTCCCCCTTCATCAACCTAAAAGTTCTGATGGTCATCCAGTATTCATGATTCTGAGAGACGCAGGAGCTGATTCTGTTGCTTCTCCATGCAGAGGTTCTACTCCTAGTCTCAAACCCAGATAGTGAAATACTTTCAATGAGCAGTTGTTGAATTTGGAACATAATATCTTGGGATACCCATGAAATTAAAAATGCTGTAGGATGTTTTGGTCAATCTTTTAAATTAAAAAGGAAAGAAACTACTTCTGTTTCAGCTGTAAAAGAAGTAACTATATTGCAACCCTGAAGGTTAGAAAGAACTTCTTAAACAGTTTGAGGAAAGGCAGTTGTGGAACATACATACAGTGCATGATGGGATCAGCTGCTTCTCTGAACTGTTTAGTCATCATAGTGATAAATTACTGTGTTTTGCAGATACCAAACTACTATAAAATCATAAAGAAACCAATGGATTTATCTACAGTGAAAAAGAAACTGCAGAAGAAGCATTCCCAACACTACCAGACTCCTGAGGATTTTGTGGCAGATGTGCGGTTGATCTTCAAGAACTGTGAAAGGTTTAATGAAGTATGTTAACTTCCAATCTGTACATGGTTTTTTACATGAAGATCTGTTTTAATGTATTTTGATGTTTTACTCAATTAAGGCTCTGCTTCTAGTTTTAACTTCTGCTTATGGAGCAGATGCTGAATCAGACACTTAAACCCAAATGAAACAAATGCAGTTACAGGACTACCTCTCAGTTTTAGCCAACTGGGGAGATCAGGCTTTAACAGAGGGTGCTTTTTAAAGTGCATTCACTGGTATGGATATATATGATTGAGGAGCAGGGTGACCTTGTTTCTGTACATCAAATAGACTGAAGAAGTGCTTAGGAAGTGTGGTAATAAAGATAATTGAGCAGTCCTTAAAACTGTCTCAGGCTATACAGGTAATTGCTCCTTCAGTGATGAAACATGGGAGACCTTTACTGAGGAAACTTCCTTTACTGAGAAGTGCCTTTCTGGAGATTATTCTGCTGGTTCTAGTACCTGCAAAGCATTGTGTTAATTGTGGCTGCAATTAAGCTTAGAGCTTTAGCTAATGGGTAGTTGGGCTCTCACAAAAATCAGTTCTCAGTAGATAACTTCTGTATGGAGCCCCATTTCTGATGACTGTGGGAAGTTGACTTATTTTGCAGTGAACCCATCTGATAATGATGTATTTGCACTTAATGTGAAATGTGACTTCAGGAGGAATTACCTCAGTGTTCTTAGTAGGTTAAACAATGGGGAAAATATTCTGAGTATAAAGAAAGAATGCTTGTATTGTGCTGAAACAGAGAGTGGGAGCTGAGATCAGAGGGTATCCTCATTTCTGAAGTGCCTTAAAGTAAGATGTTGTAAGGAATGGCTTCCTTCAGACCTTTAGAAATGCATAAACCAGCCAGTATTTTTCTGAGTTTTGCAGTGTTTGGGCTGCATTTCTGACTGGATGAAGAAGTAAATGGAAGGAATTACACAAACCTGTAATTAAAATCTCAACTGTTTCTCAAGTGCACTAGTAAAAATCAAGGTTAATGATGTAATGCTGTAAATGCTCACAAGCATTTGGGACTTTGACTCCCTTATGTCTCTGTATTAGGTGGAGGTTAACGAGCACTGTGGAAGAAGTTGCAGTTATGTGAACTTCTCAATCGAGGGAATTAATGAAGCATCTGCTGTAGAGGAAAACATGCTGCAGCTCTTAGGGACAAGAGTAAAATAAGGGAGCAAGGACTCATGGATGTGTTTTTTGTTTTGTTGGTGTTTTTTAAAACAAAAGATGTTTTGGACTTTTCTCACTGTTTGAAATGCTGGCTTATGGCAAAGGATGGGTCATCCTGACCGCTTATCATGTCTAGTGTCTCTAAGCCATATGCTTTTGAAAACTAGAAATCAAAGTGGGGTAAGATCCCCAAGAAAGTCTCATGAAGCATTTCTCTCTCAAGTGAGACTTCTCCACAATAATGTCCAGACAACTGAGATCTATACTGAAGAAAGCAGTCAGGAGTAGAGCACAGTTCTGAAATGGCTGGGAGACACTTATTTGTACCAAAGTTGTGTGTTTTGTTGAAGTTTATTTACTTCATGCCCCTCTCCTAAGACTGTTTTAAACCTGCTTCTGCTAAGTTGGAGAACTAAAGAGGTGTAGTCCATAACAAACTGTTCTGTTGTTATGGCTGACTTTAGTCATCCAATCCTATGCAATCTCATAACTTTAGGAAGGATTATAATTTCTTTTTTTTTGACTCTGGTATCCTTTTTAGATGATGAAAGTTGTTCAAGTTTATGCAGAAACACAAGAGATTAATTTGAAGGTAAGCGTTTCAGACCATGCACACTTGGTGAACAGATGTGCATTTCCAACAGGTGAATATTCCTGTCTTCTTTTGTTTACAGGCTGATTCAGAAGTAGCACAGGCAGGGAAGGCAGTTGCATTATACTTTGAAGATAAACTTCCAGAAATCTACCCAGACAGGACCTTCCAGCCTTTGCCTGAATTTGAGCAGGAAGAGGATGATGGTGAAATAACTGAGGACTCCGATGAAGATTTTATACAGCCACGTAGAAAACGCCTAAAATCAGATGACAGACCAGTGCATATAAAGTAATCTAATGATATGGACCTAAAATTTATTGTAAAAACTGTTATTTAAGTGTTCCTGGAATATTATCATGCCGACAGTGGCCACCTTGAAGAAGCTGATAGCTTTTTAAACAGTATTAGATGACAAAAAAACCCACTTGTACAGAAAAGCCTTCTTATCAAAAGGGGAAAAATTATATTGTAAATTTTTTGTGGTTTATTTCCTTTTTTTGTGTTTTTTTTTTTCTTGATTTACTGTATGTTTTCTTTTCCTGGTGGAGGGGGCACACTCATCCAGGTCTCACAGATAGAGGCGGATGAATGTAGAAGAGAAGCAGATTTGACAAAAGATGTTCCATTTGCAGATAAGACTCCTTAGTAAAATGTTCCACAGCACTGGAACAACACAGTTACAGTGTCTTGCATTCATTTTGGACTGCAGTCTAAACTGTAAGCAGTTTTCCTGAGCACCCCTCTTTGTATGAACTTCAGTGCATGTTGTTCATTGCTTTTTTTTCATCTCATTTAAGCGGTATTGTGAGTAACTGGTCTTCTGTGTTGATCCAATTACCTAAACTTGACTTTCTTTACAACATTTTATGTATAGCAAAAGGAAAAAAACCAATATCATTAAACTGTTCTGAATTGGCAAGTGCAGGAGTGTGAGTTCTTGACAGATGAAAGACTAAACTGGTGGCAAGGATCTCTTTTCAGTAGGGCTAGGTATATTTATGATGAGTCCTGTACACAGAACATTTTAATGGCAGAAGTCTTAGCATCGTGTCATCTGTCCCTGCTCCCCCTAATGAGGCAGAATGTCATCTCCAGTATTCATCAGCTCATTTTCTGTACTTCAGATATTGACTGAAGAGGTAGTAACTGGTTGGGGTGTTTTTTTTCCAGTCTTCCTAAATATCAGTTTCAAATAGACCACTTGGCAGACAATAACCTAGTAACTACCAAATGTGTAAAATTTCCTGTATTCACTTTGTCTTATTTGTAAATAGTGAATTGAGATTTCTTGCAGATCAGCAACATTTGCTGACCTGTTTTTAAGCTAATATGTATTCTTACTAATTGTTCCTATCAAGAAAAGATTTGTAATATATGCTATTTCTAACATTGCGTTCATTTTGAGGTTCTGTCTTATTTTTATCAGAGTACTACTCAGAACTTTCTTCAGAAGCAGCTTAGGAGCGAAATGTCTCAAAAGAATTGGAATGAATCTGTTGATTGGGTTATTTGTCCATCCATTGAACAAAGAACTTGCGGAGACCAGGATTTGGCTTGGAGTGGTTTCTGGTCGGTAGTGAAAACAGAAGAGTTTCCCTAAACCCTGTGGCAGGCATCTCTGCAGTGCCTTCCCATTGCACACTGCCTTCATTCCAGTATTTCTGGCTCAAATTAGGTCATCACAATGGAATGATAGTTTGAACAGTTGTTTCCTTTACTGAGAGACATCCTAGAAATAGGAACCTTCACATAGATCTGAGTAAAGGAAGCTGAAGAACTAATGTCATCAGATGAGCTCAAGTGGACAGACTATAAATTTGCCATGAGGTTTTGTGTGACTGCAGCACTTCTGTGGTAAATCACAGGGGTTTGGGTATACTCAGTGTGAGCAATTCCTGTGACGTTGTATAAGCTTTACCATAATGGTAAAGGTAAATATTGTAGCACAGTGTATCAAATTGAGATGCTCTCAGCAATTTTTGTGCAAATCACTTAAGATTTCATTTCTTTTATAAGAACAAAGTATATGTACAGTGTGACTGTACCTCTCATAATGAACGAGAAAGCTGAAGGTATTTGTACCTTCAAGCTCACTTCTTTAGGTTACGCAGATGTTACACTTAAAACTCAGACTGGTGGGGTTTTTGTTTTCAGTTCTCAGATGTTAACATAGTGCCAGGTTCAGTTGAGTTTTTACCAGTTTGTATGTGAAAGGAAAAGTAATTCTACTTAAACAAATTAACATATAGCAAAACCTTTGCCCATAGAAAAGATGACATGTGTGAATAGGACACTAATATTAACAAGGGATCATTTAATAGCTCTGTGTATTGCCTATTTCTGCACTTCTAGTTTCTCAGCTTCATTTTACAAAGGAAGAATATTAAAATTATAATGAAAATAAGGTTTTTTTTGTGAATTCTCTTCTATCGGGGTTGCGATTTTTTTTTTTTTTTTTTTTTTTTTTTTTTATGGCACTTAAGCAGGTTCTGTCCCTTCAGGCTTCAGCCTTTTATCTGTTCACTTTGTAAGGCACCAGTCATGGATTCAAGTACTGCAGACACCGGAGCGTAGGACAAGCGTGGTGGCACCCTAGGCTGGGCCACAGAGCTGCAGTTCAGGGGTAGCATATGCTCCTGGCTCCTGCAGGTACCATCGTTGGCCGCCCAGACTCCAGGTACCAGACCCCAGAGCTGGTGTCTGTTCTGGGGGAGCTTCTGACAGCTTAACTCCCTACAGCAAGACAGAAGAGGCTCACCCACCACTTGCCGGTACTCCACTAGCTCACTTGCAGGCCACAGGTGATGCTGAGCTTTGGCCTTGCTGAGGGTTCAAGCCCTGCTCTTGCACATAACCCACTGAATTTTAGAATTGGCCCTTCCATTCAGTTCATCAGTGCTCAGGAGGTTGAATCTTCTTGTGCAAGAAAGTGTGTTTCTTCTTTATAGAGGAAACCAACAGTCTCTTTTACTCTTCCCACCCCTTCATTTTGAGCTCCCAGGACAATTCAATGGTTGTTTTGCAACTAGCTAAATTCTGTTAATCCATTTGCAGATCCTCTAGTCTGTAAGTATTCATCATAGAGCTGGTAAGGGTTTGTTCAGTCAAACGAAGGTTTTGGTGCCACGCTGTATGCAACTTGTTCAAGAGCAGTTTAATGGGGTTTAGGCTGCTGTTACTCAGCTTCTTCTTTGTGCCAGATGATGTGTGTGCAATATGTGCAAGTGATTGTGTCTCACCCTGGGAATTAAAGTGTGGTTTACACAGATACAACTTCTCCAGACCAAAGGTGTGGTGCATGCACTCTGTGTCCCATCCCCTTTGTCCTCATGGTCACAGTGTTCTAACCTGGTCTCAAGAAGATAGTCTGGCACATGCTGTAACTATATGCTCTCATTTAAGGCAGTTGTGAAAAAGCCCATTTGTGTCTCAATTTTCTGTTGTAAATGACCCTGACATTTAAGTTAATCCAAAGAAGTAAAAGAGAACTTTCTTTTGAAAGAAGAGTGGGAGGTGTACAGTATGCTACTTGTGGGTTTCTCGATTACCTCAGCAGGTATCCTGCCATGTAATTACTAGTGAGTAGTGATGATTTAACTAGCTCAATAGGTTCAGGTCTTGTAGTAAGCTGTGCCCTGGAATGAAGTGGTCTGTAGCACATAAGGCAGAGTTACTATCCAAAAAAGATGTTCCCAACTGTTTGAAAATAGCAATGCTCTGTTTAATGTTGAGAGTTGGGTTGGGGTTTGTAGGGATGTCGCCACTGCTGGTGCATCTAACTGCGTCTGCACACCAAGTGCTGGATCACTGGAATGTTTCATGGACATTTCTGCAGATTTGGGTGGATTTTAAGGACTTGTGAAACAGAAGTCCTTAAATTTAGGCCTTAAAATCCCCCCAGATGGAGTGTTCTGTATGACCGAGTTCAGCGGCTGACCTTTAGAAGTTTAGGGAATGGCAGCAGTGTTTTAAAGCTCTTGTGGATTTGTTTTCCTTACTCTCTTCCTTGGAAAAAGCAATAAACCTGCTTTGTCTGTTGCCTATTAGCATGCCAGGCATCCTTCCCTTTGGCTGGTGGCTTGTATGTATATCACGAAGTCTAGCTTTTAAAACCACAAGTGTGCAGGAGTTGTTGAGAGTGGGGCATTTGAGTTTGCAAACTGGGGAAAGTTCCGTATTTCTCTAATGAATAGGTGTTTGGGTAAAATAACAGAGGTTTCTTTTGTTAAAAACCAGTTCCTACACCGCAGTGTACCCAGACAGATTCCAGCGTGAGCGCTGTGTCCTCGGATAGGGAGGGTTCCTGTTTCTCAAGGTGTGGGTGCAGCAACTTCCACCTTTATTACAAGGGGACTGTTCAATGTGCGAGATGTGATTCTGGCCTTTTCTACTGAGTGATCTTCCAGCTCAAGGCTGTTTCCTTTAGGATTTACGGACTCTCTACAAGGAGAGGTACTAAGGCATTTTGTGACTTGTTGCAGCATCCACTCTAGAGTAACCTACGTGTCAGAAAAGGAGGTGCATGTCTGCTAATGGCCTACAAACGGGGTATTCCTTCAGTTCAGACACCATCAAACATGTATATAAGCCTATAAAGACTTGTGCAGTTGAAAGCCTGTTTTACATGTTAACATGCTCATGGAAGGGTTAAATTCATGCCATTCTTTGATTCTTTCTTGCTTCCAGTAACTGAACTGGTTCTTTTTTGCACATAGTAAACTCCTCTCATCTTTTAATATGATTCTTCAGACAAAAGTGCTGTTTCTGTGGTATTGTATTACCTGAATAATCATATGGAACTTTTTTAAACCAAGTTACTGTTTCTAATTGTTCTGTTCCTGTGTTTTTTGCTGGTGTGTACTAAAAGTTTTTCTTTACCTGGTTATTTAATACATTACCTGCCTGTAAATACTTCCTGTTAAGTGCTCTGGAATGTGCTGTAGAAGTTGTATTAGGTCAGTTTAAAGCATTGTTTAAAAACCATTTTGTTTTGGTTATTTCTATTAAATTAGAGAAATGACTCTTTCAATTTGAGCTTCTTCTTTGCGCATCTGCGTTAGGTCCTTAGATACTGGTTTGTGTCTGGCAAGAGGCTTTTCTGGTGCTTGCATCCTGGAAGTACCATGATGAAAGCTTAAGGGCAGCAGCTCAAGTGTGACCACACGAAGCTGCGTAATGTGCCAAGATGGAAAACACTGAAACTTGATTCAAAGGTGTTGGAGATGCTGGGATTTCACCACTCGGTGCTTACTTACCCATAAAATGACCTTTATATTCACCTAGTTCATGAGATACAAGTATGTTAAGGTTTTCTCTAGTGTTTTTTGTGCTGCTGTCATCCTGGACACATGGGCTTGGAGCAAGCTGCCCTAGTGGAAGGTGTCCCTGCCCATGGCAGGGGCTGGAGCTGGATGAAGTTTAAGGTCCCTTCCAGCACAAACCAGGCTGGGATCCTATGAACTTTGGTGCAGGAGGTGTGCAGCTCATGGGTGTCTCATTCCAGGAGCTGGGATGCTTTCCAAAGACCCAATAGACCTGACAGCAAACTCTAGGGGATGGCTCCAAGGCGTTGCTTCTGCCCCAGTAAGCACTGGAGAAATGCGAAGGGAGCTGAGCAAACTTGCTAACATCCCACCCAGAGCTGGATGATGCTCCTCATCTGCTGTCTCTCTGCCCTACTCTGCTCTATGAGGTTCATGGTGCATTCTAGCTGTTGGAAATGAGTCTGTAGTGAATGTGTAGCTGGGGTCAGCATGCTCATCTTGGGAGTGAGGCTGTGGCAGTCTTTACAAGTGAGGAGGAGGAGGAGGAGGTTTCTCATGCATCCTGTGTGTTTTGCATGCAGTGAAAGGCTGTGCACAAGCAATGCTGTTGTGTTACCTACCCCTGAGCTGCAGTTTAGTGTCTGGAGCTCCCTCCAACTGATCGATCCATCTTTTGTGCTGCTACTGACGCAGCCTCATGACTTACCATCTCCCAAACTAAAGGCAAAATTGGGCTTTCACACCTTGGGGTATGGCCTTGTTCAGCTACAGCTGTGCAACTTAAAGTAGGAGCCAGTCTGGTTTGCTTTACCGGAAGTCAGGACCCTGGCAGGTCCTTCCAGGCACCGATCTCAACTGGACTCGAGCTGACCAGAGCTGCAAGAAGTGAAGTGAGCACGCACAGAAGCTAAAATGACCCCTGAATGATCTTTCTGCAAGCCATGAGAGAGGTCTCGCATCCTGGGATGCCAACCACCTCGAAGGTGTGTTTGTGCTGTCGGTGTTTGCAGTTGGCAAAGGCTCTGACCGCAGAATGTCTGTTCCATCAGAGCCCTGGCTTCGGGCTGTAAAGAAGTTGGATTTGTCTGTAAGTGCTTGTGGTTGCTCGGTGTCACTTCTCTTACCACGTGAGAGAGCCTCTTCTAGGCAAAGGTCTGGTTCCCCTCGCTAAAGCCCAGTGACTGCTGCTGAAACTGAGGCCCCTGCAGCACTCCCGCGGGTCCTTCGCACCCTGCAGCGGAGCAGCAACGGTTTGAACCTCGGCCTCTGCGCTCCGGCGGGGAGGGGTCTGCTGCGGGACCGAGCCCTGCCTGCGCGAGCCGCTGCTGGCGCCGGGTGTGCTCCGCGCGGGGGGAGCCGGTGCTGCAGCCCCGCGCCCTCCGCAGCTGCTGGCAGGGGCGCAGAGGGAGCTCCGGGGGCTGCTCCGCTCCCCTTGGCCGGGCTCCGCAGCGCTCTGCGGTGCGAGCCCGCCCGGCTGCTCCCCTCCTGAAGCCTCAGCTGCGCCATCGCTTCCTGCGGCTGCACCGGGATCTGCCGCCTTAGAATCATAGAGTCATGGAACACTTAGGGCTGGAAAGGACCTTTAGATCATCCAGTTCCAACCCCCTGCCGTGGGCAGGGACACCTCACACTAAACCAGGTCACCCAAGGCTTCGTCCAACCTGGTCATGGACACTGCCAGGGATGGAGCATTCACAGCTTCCCTGGGCAACCCATTCCAGTGCCTCACCACCCTCACAGGAAAGAATTTCTTCCTTATATCCAATCTAAACTTCCCCTGTTTAAGTTTTAACCCGTTACCCCTTGTCCTGTCACTACAGTCCCTAATGAAGAGTCCCTCCCCAGCATCCCTATAGGCCCCCTTCAGACACTGGAAGGCTGCCATGAGGTCTTTCTTCTCCAGGCTGAACAGCCCGTCTTCATACAGGAGGTGCTCCAGTCCCCTGATCATCCTCATGGCCCTCCTCTGGACTTGTTCCATCAGTTCCATGTCCTTTTTATGTTGAGGACACCAGAACTGCACACAATACTCCAGGTGAGGTCTCACAAGAGCAGAGTAGAGGGGCAGGATCACCTCCTTCGACCTGCTGGTCACGCTCCTTTTGATGCAGCCCAGGATACAGTTGCTTTCTGAGCTGCG